CTATAATTTAGACACAGACTTTTAAAAACTTACAGAATTAGAGTCGATGTGATCGTGGAGTGTAGGATTCTCTGATGGTATTTCTTGAACGTTATTTAAGTCTGCAGGGCGAAAACACAATGCGTGCTTAAGTCTTTGATTCCAGACCCCAAAGCTTTCACTGAAAACCGGAAAAGGAGGGAGGGGGCAAAGGAAAATCTCAAGATGATTTGTGAGTGCTCTTAAAAACCCCGGGCAGGCAAGTGCGCCCCCACCCCCACGACATACACACAACCCCCCATCCCCACCCCCCACACATCCCTCACAAAGTTTCCTCACCGCATCAGCTCGGACTCATTTAAAATGCTTGCAAGTAAATAACCAGTTGCATTCTGAGAGGAGGAGATAGAAATCTCTGGTCTCTAAAGCTCTGCGCGAATCCCATCTGCAGGTAGCCGGCAGCTCCTCTTTGGCGGATGCTGGTTGGGTCACCGCTGCGGGGGGAGCGCAAAGCTCAAGCGGTTTTTCCAGATGGAATCACCACGTTCCTGAGACTTGGAGCTTATAAAAATAAAGTCATATAAGCTTCTTGGAAGAGGGGAAAAAAACGTAAAAATTTTGCTTCTCAGAAGTCTGTGTTGCTGACTTTTCTTCTCAGAGTCGACACCTTTTCCATCAAAACATTGCAAAAATCTGTGTATCACTGGAGCAGTATTTGGAATTTTATACAAATTGCTGTTGGGTTCTTTCTTCAATCAAAGCAGAGAGGATATATTTACACCACTTTCTTTTTTTAATTGGGTCTTCTGTAGTTTGTACAGCTATTACAAACCTGCTAATATTTCTGTAAAATAGCAAATTTTCAGCACACTGTGCATTTTGAGAAGACTGGGCAGTAAAAATTTAGGGGAAATTTTGGGGTTGAGGAAATTCTCCAACCTAGGGAGAGAGGTGTGTAGAGGCGCTTTTTATTTTATTTATTTTTTTCTTTCCTGAATCAAAAGCTAATTTCTAGCTGGGTGGTGGGGAGAACATTATGTATGTTTGCATATAATCAAATACTGTGTTGTAGTCCTCTAGTGAAATTCAGTGGAGAAGGGGTGGGATGAAGGCTCAGCTCAGTGTATGTGTATGTGTGTGTGTGTGTGTGTGTGTGTGAGAGAGAGAGAGAGAGAGAGAGAGAGAGATTTTTTAGTTATCTTGTTACACTTTAGAAATAATTCTGTTCTTATTTAATTTGACCCATTACCACATGTAGAGAGAGGGAAAAAAGAGCTTAATGAATGTGAAAGCACTGTATTAAAGAAATGCTTTGCAGTTGAGAACTACAGATGTGCAGAATGATTTACACTGAAGGAAGGAATATTTTTGCTTTTTTGTAAGTAAGACTCAGATCTGAGACATACTGGCCCTAGAAACCACCCCCAGAAAAGACAACAGTGCCTGTGGTTGATAGGAACAGGCTAGGCTCTGAAAGAAAGAAAAATACTGGTCAGTTAGAAAAACTATATTGGTGGTAATCATCTCAATCACACTTTTATCTTTAATTGCCTGTTTGTTTGTCCAACTTAATGTCATGTGAAAGAGACCTAAAGAACTGGCTGAAGGTGATTGAAATGAATGTAAGTGACCTGCAGTTGATATTCAGATTTTATCTTCCTCCCCACCCTTGAAACTCTGTATCATTCCCTGTTTCTTCCTTGATTTCTTCCTTCCTCTTAAAGCACCAGCTACTATACAAAGTTTACAGTCAGGACTTCCCTATTCAGATATGTTCTGATTTTTTTCTAATCTATCCTCCTCAAATAGTTTGTAATCTCTGCACGCTAAGAAAGAAATGCAATAGTGCCTACATGAGCGTCTGAAGTGGAGAATAATGTATTAACATTATAACACCTACATGAGGATACACACCACAAAACTGCCAACCGATAATAGAGACACATAGATAGTCTATTGAATATGCATCACCCATAAAGAACTACCACAATTATGAACAAATTATTTTCATAATAAATGTATTTTAGAGGCATAAAATAGTCTAAAAACTACACCTACAACTATTCAAGTGTAACAGTAGTTTTCTTGGTGGGAAATAAAAACATACGGATATTTATATGGGATTTAAACATGTCTAATGCCTTAGGGGAGAATTTCTTATGTATGAATTTCTCTTGACAGGGTTCTACTCTATCTATTTGAGCTCAAGTGACTTCCTTCAATTGCTTTGCCTCTCATAACAGATGATCTCCAGAGCCTGAGATAAAGGACACTCCAGATGATGATCAGAATTGATAATATTTGCTCAGGGCTGTAGTTTCATTACTTGGCTAAGGCGGGAAGGATTTCAATTTTGTCATTAAAGGTTTATACATTCCTATTCTTTTCCAAATAGGTTCTCCTCTCAAACAACAAAAGTTACAGGTACACATCACAAAGTCATTCAGGCGATGGAAAAATGTATCAGTTAATTATCCAATTTTCCCAAGTATAATCAAATTTCCAGACATATGTCCACTTACATTTTTAAAGTAAAAGGGTAGAATTTATCACATCCATCCATTCATCTTTATTATTCAGTTCAGATATCATTATAATAATTTTTAAATGTACTCTTTTAATTTTTAATTTTTTTTTTTTTTTT